TAGGAATTTTTTTAAAATACGTATTTTTTGTTACTTAGTTTTAGAAACACAGTTTTTAGTGCTTAACCAGAGTTGGGAAGGAAAGAAATAGTTGAGATTTGTAGATCTCAATTGTAGATGAGAATTTTGAGACTGAGCTATTTTAAGAGGGTTACATTCCCAAGCAAAATTTCCCTAGTGTAACTTGAAAGTATTGTAGGATCAGGATTGAGTGAAAGGGGATAGCATTTTGAAAGCTTTTGAAGAAAAAGTCAAGAAATAAAAAGGTAGAAATAGTTATCTAAGTTTAGGAAAGTTCCCTGAGACAAATTTTGTTCAGTTAAAAACTTTGGCTATTGGAGATGACCAACTAAAAGTCTTCAGAAAGGATTGGACTGCTTTAGAGAATGATTTCTCATACAACTTATTACGGGAGAGCCAGAGAGACTCAAAAATAAGAGTATGCTTGCAAGAACACAAGCTTTAGGTGGTGGTGGTGATATATTTGGTGTCAGAGCATCTTTTCTGCTTTGCACTGTAGGTGAAATAAACTTGGAAAGAAAATGACAGGGTGGAGGGCGTGGAGCTTTGGGAAAGGCAGCCTGGCCACTTCCCTGATGACCGTGAAAGCAAGAGCCACTGTGGGGATTAACATTCTGAACAGAAATAAGATGGAGGAGGAACGTAAATACCAGCTAGATAATTTTGAACATGCAACCCAACATTCTGCCCTGACGGAAAATAACAGATGAGCCCCAAACCAAACTTCTAAAACTTAAACGCAATAGGTACAGCTGTTTGGAAACGTGCAGTGAACATAACTTGGTGCTGGGAAAGTTTGGCTCTCCACGAACAGAACAGCCGCTGAGCTGATCTGGAACTGAAGGGGACACTTACATTCAAACACCAGGCCATCTCTATTCTTAGAGCTCAACTAGAGGACAGAAGAAGTGGATGAAACCAGGCTCTTGATGTGGTGAGATAAAAACCATGCTTGCCCCTTACGTTATCGTCATTATATAATCCTTCATTTTTGTGTGTGGTAAATAACAATGCTGACATGCTCACAAAATAATGTGAAGCATATGGGTCACAACTGTTTTTAAGTAAAAACTTCTCTAAAGATTTATTTAGGTTCCTTAATTATAGAGTGGTTTGGAAGACTGGCATGTGGTTTCAGTTTATAGTTATAAATGTGGGCCTTGGTGATGGGTACGTGCTCATGTTGCCAGAGAAAAGGAGAACGAGATTGGAATGGGGGCTAGCGTCCTTCAGGGACTACCTTTGTCGTTTTTTGGAAAAGGGAAGTCAGGATCTGTGTTTCTATGAAATAAGTATGCTGTGCATGAGGTCGGGTGCCAGTAGTGCAGTCCAGTTTTCCCAGTGCTTAAGTGCTTCAGTTGGTAAATTTTCCTGGCAATTTGAAATCAGGGCTCTGTAGAATCCTGAAAAAACAACTATTCCTTTTTGCCTTTATCTCATATTCAAATACACTTCCATTAGATGAATCAAGCCCAGTTTTGGGGACAACAGTTAACGTACCTGTTTGGACAGACAAGAAAAAAGTGTGTTCAGCTTAGGAGTTTCGAGATGAAGTAAATCCATGGCAGAGGCGTGTGATGTTCTGAAGCTGTGTGTATGTTCACATGTACATGCACACACAAAATCATAGTGGTTATTCATGGTAGAAGTCATTGTGCATCACTTGGGATCTAGTAAGAGTGGGATATATAAGGCTAAATTGTAGTCCCAGGAGCCGGGGAAAGACCTGAATTAACCAACCCATGAAGAGGTCGGCGAATATGTATGGTTGGATAGTTCATTTGTGTTTACCCTAATGTGCTTTCCTGTGTTTTTTGACAATGATGATTATGATAGTGGCATCTCTGAACTATTGTCTGGAGGTGGAAGGAGTGGGAGGGGAGGAAGGCTAATAAGAAATCTAAGCAATGCTTTCCTTCCCTGCGTGAAGGTCATGGAAGAAATGGATTTCCTGTTTACCATTCTTCATGGAGCTTACTCCAGTACTGACTTTGTCAGTACTTGGAGAGAGTCCACTCACTCATTCGTTCATAATGTGGTACTGGTGATGTCTTATGTTTATAGCTCTGTGGATGGCACAGAAGTTAATTAGATAGAAAGAAAGCCTGTGCCCCAGAAAAGCTTACACTCTGGTAGAAGATAAGAGGCATGCATAACTAATCATAATGCAGAAATAGTTCAGACATATTTGCAAGGCTCTCACTTTTAAAGTGCTTTTATACACTTTTATTTACTCCTCTAAGCTCAAGTAGTGGCTCCATTCTCCATTTTGTACAGGAAGAAACTGAAGTTTAGCCAGAGCGAATGAAGGACTTGCTCAAGGTGGTAAGCTGTGGCTTTGGAGCCCAGGAAATCCCAGGCATTTGAACGAGAGGAAGACCAGCTGGGCAGGAAGAGATCAGTGTACACTCTTTACCTAAACAGGGTAAAACAACTTGTTACTCAGAATAGTCCCTTGTTCCAGATATTTTCATTATTTTTTCTCTTTTTCTCGTATTCATTCATTCAACAAATGCATTTAGGGTACATTATTATGTACAAGGCATTGGATTTATCAACGTGGGGGCTATAAGACTCGGAGTGGCTTCCTTGAGGGTCTCATCGTAGTCCGGGTGAAAGACAACATCCCAGATAATCATAGGAGAATGAATATTTCTGGGTTCCAGTTATGACCGTCCAGTGAAAGAGATCACGGGCATCTCATGTCACCTGTCAGTCTCAGTTGGATCATTTTTCTTTAAGGAGGCCAACATTTCCTTCACAGAACTGTTTTAAAGATTAAATCTGATTATGAGTATGAGAACACGTGACTCAGCTCCTGGCATATTGAAAATGCTCAGTAAACTGTCAGTAGTAACAGGCTCCACACACTTTCCGAAGGAAGGCCGAAGTCCTTGATGGAGAGGCCCCGTGTGGTCTGGTCAGCCAAATTTAAACCCTTCCTATATCCCAGCCTTTCACCCGTCTCCCTGGCTCCAGATTGACTCTCTCGTGCACCTTTGTGGCCCTGTGATGGATCCAAACGCAGAGCTGGTGTAGCCCAGTGGTCAAGAGCAGGGGCGGCTCAGTTCTGGCTCTGCCGTGTCACACTGGCAGCGTTACCTCACTTGATGCCATAGTTTCATCATCCGTAAATGAATTAGTAACAGTTTATTCTTGAAAGTTTTGTTGTGATATTTGAATTGATTAAATATAAAGGGCTTGGGGGGCAGTGTTGGTACACAGTCAGTGTGTGCTATTTTTAGCGCTAATTACGATCTGATTACCGACTCAGGGTGCCTCTCCCCTGCTTGCAGGCCTGCGGGGTGGCTCCCTGTCATCTTTCTTCGTCTCTTTGGAGTCTGCCCATTTATCTCATCACTCATCTGTCCCTTACTTATGTTTGCCTTTTAGGAACATAGAACTGCTCTTAACCCCTTAACCCACCACTGGGAGTTTTTGGCTTTAGTTTTCACCTAAGAGCCCTTTGTCTTGCTAATGCATTCTTTAGGACTGGTTTTTCCACCTTCTAAGGTTCTTGAGGTCCCTATCTAGGTGTGCAATGTTCTGCACATAATCTTTGTCATTGCAGTCACCTTGCTGGGTTGCCATTTTCTGTTTGTATCTCCCCTGCTTTTGACTGAGAACTCATGAGAGAAGGGCTGAGTTTTAATTATCTTTACATTCCCAGCATGTTCTTGACATAAGATAAACTCTGAGTAAGTATTCGCTGATAAATGAATTAGGAGAAGAACTTGACCCATCTTAAATACATTATCATATTGCTAAAATTATTTGTCAGCTAGCTAAAGGGAGCGCAATTCATCCTATTTGTAAATTCTGAGGAGGGGTGGGTCAACCTGAGGACTGGCCTGACTTTGCTTGATAGAAGCCTCTTTGTCATCATAGGGCATAGTGAGAAGCTTGAGGGGCCTGGGATTGGACAAGAACTGGCAAACCCCTAGTACCATTTGCCCCTGGCGGACCTTGCAGTTTTAGTCATTTCTTTGTGAAGGCAGAAGTTCTATATTTAGCCTAGTGATGATAATATCAGCCATTTGGTATTTCATAGCGTTTTTTCTAATGTTTGGAAAGATTTTTTTTTTCATTATTTTGAAACTATTTTATTATCCTGAAAAATCTCAACATTATCTGGTTGTGGATGTGTGATATAACATTTTTCTCCTTTGTTCTCTGAATTGCCTAGACTTTAGTAAAAGGAACCATAAATATATAGCATGTGCATTAAATAAAGCATGTCTCCAGAGTACAATAAATCAAGACCATTTTGGTTAATTGAGAATGCATGGGAAAAGGTAACATGGGCCTCAAAGGGTGGATGGTTTATTTATTTACTTTAAGAACTTGAAGGAAATAAAATGTGATGTCTCAGCTTTCTATCTAAAGCATATCAGTGGCCCTTTAAGGGACCTGTAGTTTCATGTGGTAAATACTTAATAGTGTCTATAAGTTTTTGTTTGTCTTGTTTGTTTGTTGCTTTCAGTTTTACATCCCACATATAAGTGAAATCATGGTTCTTGACTTTTTGTGCCTTGCTTTGCATAGCATGATAATCTCAAGAGTCATCATGTTCTTGCAAATGGCAGTATTTCATCTTATCTTATGGCCGAGTAATATTTCATTGTATATTTATACCACAAACAAAAACTCATAGACGCAGACAACAGTTTAGTGGCTACCAGAGGGTAAGGGGGCAGGGGAGGTGGTAGAAGAGGGGAAGGGGGGGTCAACAATATGGTGATGGAAGGAGAATTGACTTTGAGTGGTGAACGCATAATGCAATATATAGATGATGTATTATAGAATTGTACACTTGAAACCTATATAATTTTACTAACCAGTGTCATTCCAATCAATTTAATTAAAAAAAAAGAAATACATCCCCCCAATAAGTCTGTGGTCCCACCCCCCCCCAAAAAAAAAACCCCACATAACAATGAGCTGCATTTTAAGGATTTTTTTTTCATTAACCCCGACAGCTTTGCCCTGTCAGATGAAGCATACAGATCCCTGCGAGATCAAGATAAAGACCAGTGTATTCTCATTACTGGGGAAAGCGGAGCAGGAAAAACAGGTAAGGCCACTGCTGAACAACCTCACTTTTCTCCAGTAGAAGGTAAATGCTGCACAGGGAATGACGTGTGACCATAGCACAGAGGGCATGTGCATCTCATTAGCATGAAGCTACTCAGGGCCACCGAGGGCTCCTTTGCGGGAGGCTACTGATTAGGATCATGGAATGTTCTCTGGGAAACACTGACCTCATGTCTCACATGAAGAAACGGGTAAACTGTCATAGACTTCTAACCAATGTGGGAGCCTATTTCTGTATTCTAGACCTTTCTAGTCCAGACCCTGAGTACTTCAGTTTTACCTTTCCCCTGGGACACCGAGGCCTGTGAGGTCTCCCCATTTCCCTAAGGCTTGCCAAATTATTTGGGCTTCGGAGATCACAACCATAGCTCCTTTCTGCTAAAAAGTCATGGAAGAAGGCACCAGGAAGACACTGAATTTCACTATAGAGAAGTTTTCCTCTGAAACCTAAAGAATTGAGATTTTTGTATATATTTTTAGACGGGCTGGCAACCATCCCATTAAACAAGCCCCCAAATGGAGGGATTATGCTTTATTTCTTGTGCTCTTAATGAAAGCAATTTGTATGATTGATGGTCTTGAGTGAGAAAGTGATTTTACACATGGTGCCCCAGATTCAAAAGCGTTGCACTCCCTGAGTCCAAACTTTATAGGCTAAAACAGCTGTTGTCAGTGGGTTTCTTTGATGGAACTGATGAGTCCATGAAGGAGGAAAGATGGTATTTTCATAACCATTTCATCTGTAAAATGTTTTTTTTTTTTAATTATAGTCAGCATACAATAGTATATTAATTTTAGGTATACAACATAGTGATTCTACATTTATATACCTTACGATGTGATTACTTCAATATGCCTAGTACCATCTATCACCATGCAAAGTAATTATGTTATTATTGACTATATTCCCTGTGCTGTACATTACATCCCTGTGACTTATTTACAAAATGTTCTTGTTTTATAGCTAAAGCTCTGATAATTGGTAATTTCTGCTAGTTTGACAAAGTGGGATTTAAATGTTTCCATTTTGCTTGGCTATTTAGTTGTCAGAATAAAAACTTTGATTTCCCAGTAATCAAGAGAAGAACACTCCCCATGGATATTTCAGTCAACTGGCTGAATCCGTTTTGTTCTTGAGCCCTCAGTAAAATTTGTGCCATTAAAGCCTCACTATCTTTTCCTTCTACACTAATTCCTTGCTCCACTTTCTTTAAGAGTATCCCCTCCCTAACCCGAAATGTAGCTAAAGAAAGAATGGTGGGATAAGTGTCGAGCTCCCTTTCTAGAGCCCTTTGGAGACATACAGGGTCCTACCAAGGAACAGCCAGACACCTTTTGTTGTGATGGAGGGCTCACTGCTTTGTAAGGTAGCCTACTGAATTTGTCATACAGGTTTGGCGAACAAAAGTGCTTCCTTGCCTGGGGTTGAATTCAGCCTCTACCCATGGGTCTTATCTCTGCAATCTGGAACCTTATCAAAATAGTCTACTTTTTCTTCTACTGCACAATCACTTAGTTACTTGAAGTCATCTGTCCTAGCTTCCTAGGGCTAAAAATCCCTTTTCTTCAAAAGTTTCTCGTGTGATTAACATTCATTGATTCATTCATCCAGGAAATAATTCCTGAGTACCTATTAGGTGAAAGGTACTGTACTAGGTACTAGTGACACATTGGTGAGCCAGACTCCATCTCTGCCTTTATCGAGTTTATAGTCTAGTAGAGAAGTTGAACAATAGTTCTGCACTATTATGTATATACATCTAAATGTATGCATGTATACATACAATTTATATGCAAAACATTAAATGTGGGGAAGGAAAAGTACAGGGTGCTTGTAAGAACATATAATAGGATCAAATCTCATTCCCAAATCCCTCACTATCATAGTCATATTATTCTGGAATCACCCTAATTTCATTTTTCTCTTTACCCTCCTACCCAAACTTCCTGATCTCAATAAATAGGACCACTAGTCAACCTACTTTCTGAAGCTAGAAGTATAAGACTCATCCTTGATTTTTTTCCCCTTTCTTGTGTCTCCCAAATGAAACCAATTTCCTAACCCTGTCAGTTCTACCTCTAGAATATATCTAATGCCAAGATGTTTCTTTTCTGTCTACATGGAGATTCTATTCTAGCCCAAGCCACCGACCGTTATTTCCTTTGAGGGGCTATTTGTAGCTATGTCTAGTTGGTCTCTCCCTTTCCCCTTATGCTGCCTACAGTCCCTTTCCAAGACACCAGAATGACCTGTAAACGTGAAAACTGGATGATAACCCTGGCTTTATTGAAATATAATTGACTATCACTTTGTGTAAGTTTAAGGTGTACAATGTGATGATTTAATATACACGTATGTATATATTGTGAAACGCTTATCACAACAAGGGTAATTAACACGTCTGTCACCTCACACAGTTATCTCTGTGTTTGTGTGTATGTGAGAACTTTTAATATTTACTCTCTTAGCAACTTTTTTTTTTTTTTTTTAATTGGGGAATCAGGGAAGGGGAACAGACAAGTTGCTGTCCTTTTGTTCTTCAGTCTAGTTGTGGAGGACGTCGCGTAACTGGCCCATGTTGGTATTATCGTTGTGCTCTTCCCGGGTGAGGCAGTTGATCGCAGGCCATTGGACAGCCACTCACGGTGGCTCACAGCAGCTCATGAAAGCTCACGCAAGCTGCCGGCCAGCCCCACTGCAGCCTACGCCGTCGCTGGTGACTCAAGGCAGCCCAGCTCCAGGTCGAGCTGTTGTTCACCATCTTAGCTGTAGAGGACGCAGTGTCACTGACCTATGTGGGATCCGAACCGGTGGCCCTGCTGCTCAGAGTTCGTGCTCTCAAACCAGTGAGCCACTCGGCCAGCCCTCTTAGCAACTTATAATTATATATAAAATAAAAGCCATACTGAGTGGGCTTGTTACATAAAGCTCTGCGTGATCTGGCTCCTACCTATTTCTTCACCTTCCCCTCATGTTTTTCATACCTTCAATAATTGCCACTCATATTACTTTTCATTAAAAGCCTTAATTCTCAATTGTATGTAGACAGTGTTTTATTGTTTAGAGTTTTCCATCCCTTTTTAGATCATTCATCTGAATCTCTGGGTCTGGTCCCTTACCTGCATTTCCTCAGACATTTGTGATACCTTTAGCTGTTCAGAACTCTTTTTTTCCCCAGTAGGAACTTTAAGAGGACATTGGTGTCTTGGGAGAAAGTTTTTGCCCCTTTTCTGTCACTGACCAGATCTTTCTTATGAAACAATTAATTTTTAGAAGCAACATAGCTTTTTGATGGTTTCCAACTTAACTAATGAACATGGTAACAAGGTAAGTTAAAAACTGTGTCCCTTGACAGAAGACATTTGTATGGGTGGTGTATCTTTTTTTGTGTGTTTTTGTTTGTTTGTTTTTGTTCATTTAACATGGGAGAGGAAGAGATAAAACTATTCCTAAACCTATTAATTTTTTTAGGTTTATACTCATTCTTCATCATGATTAAAGATATACTTTTTAAGGGCCTGATTGTATGAATTTGTTCTGAAGTGAGTCATCAGAAGTGGGTTGTGGTCGCTGGTGTGATTAGTCTTTGCCAATTCCTCTTCTCCTCTTGGAACGTATGTTCCAGGAAGACAGCATATCCACTAATTAGCCATGTCGGCATATGACCTCCTCCCTTTCAGAGAGTGCAAACCACGTTGCTTCCTCAGGAGCAGAGTCCATCTCCTGGAGGGCTCATACATTTTCCTTACTGGAAAACTGAGTGGAGGTTGCTGGTACTTTTTCAGACGGTTGGCATTCATTCTTTTCTAAGAAAAAACAAAACCGCCTCATTCCTCTGGTAGAAATCTAGTAGTATGGAGTTCATTCTTTTCTGTAGTTTTCTCCTCTCTTGATATTTCTCCGCTTAATAACTTGTCCTGTTGGTTTCAATGTCCTTTTCACCACTTGAAATCCTTTTCTCCCAATTATCTTCCTTGGATTTAGTCTTTCTTAGGATCCCTTTGCCCCCTGTCATAAGCTGAAGAATGGATGCTTCTCAGGGCTGTTACCTTTTCCTCCAGTGGAGCCATTCTGTTTACTGCATGCAATCAGGCAGGAAACTCGAGGGAGGGTGCCATACACACCCTAGAGCAGCGCTTCTCAGACCTTCCACTGTGAAGCACCCAGGTTCCCCTCATCCCCAAATCGGTTACAGACTGATACCAGAAACACGAAATAAAAGAAGACATAAAGAATTCAATCTCTAATTTTTTGTTTTAGTTTCAACAGACACAATAAACTATGAAATTCCTACAAAAATTTCTAAAAGCCTGCTCTTATGTGTAGAATGGTAACAGTCCATGGACCAACCAACTTTGAGTAGTGCCAGTGCTTAGACCATTCCTTGAGTATCGCTGTCTGTAGGTCATTTGAAGTGTTTGTCTTATTTCTGAGCTACTGTGAGTCCTAGATCTCGCGATGCTACCGTTGTCCATTATCATTAAACCTGCTGGTGCTGGGAGGTGGATACTACTCTTGAGAGCTGCTATGTTTAAATATTCACTCAGCTGTACTCTTTGGTAGCTGCTAAGCCCTGTGTTTTCATTGATACATCCCACAGACATTTAGTGTTTTGCTCACTTATTCCTATCTTCTTCTACTTTTCTTTCATTTTTGAAAACAGCGGTATAAAAATTGTTTCAAATTTTATTATGGTTTTAATTGTGTTAGACCATAAATTTGAATATTACATAGAGTTTATGTGTTCTTTAATGTCTTTTTTATGTGGAGATTGCTCATGGGAGAATAATAAATTGATGGACAATGCTATACAGATGGCGGCAGTATAGTTATGAGGGTTTTGTAGAGAGAGTTTAATCTCATTTCTGTGGGGAGGAGGCAAGCCAGGCCATTTTGAAACGTCACATTATCTTATTCGCTAAAATTGCTTTTGAGTACATGTAGTTATTAAAAATTTTTTGTTAGTAAATAAATGAAAA